CAGATGCTCTGCCGGGAAAAGGAGGGACAATCTCCTCCTGTACCAGTCAGATCTGATTTGACGGTACACTCACACAAAAATAAAAAAAAAAAAAAAAAAAAAAAAAAAAAAAATAAAAAAGATTCTTCCGAGAGAAACTAAGCCCTTGGCCATAGACTGTGGAGAGGCTGTGTCAGAGGCTGTTACTGTCTTTGGGGTGAGTCTTTTAGACCTACCTTTAGGATTATTCTCTAATGTGCTTTTCATTAGAATGAAGATGGCTCTATGAACGAAAAGCTGCCCTGGGAATCACAGTGTTTCCTTCTCTTTCAGATGGCAGAGAAGCTGACTGAGTGAACTGTTGAACAGGGTGTTGTACCCAAATGAAAGCCAGTCCTTAAGACTTGGGGGAGGGGAAGGATCAGCCTTAGAATCCCAGAGGCTTTTGTGTAAATAACTAACCCAAAGGCAAGAGCGGCCTTTGAAAGGAACAAATAAATTCTATTTGGATAACCTTTCTTGGTGCCTGAGGATAGAATCTATAAGGGGGGGGGACAATCTACTCCTGTACCAGTCAGATCTGATTTGACAGTACACACAAACAAAAATAATAAAATAAAATAAAAAATAAAAATAAATTCTTTATATGGAGGAATCCCATTCTAGGAGGCAAAGCCCCCACTTTAGTCATGTGGATGGCATTCCAAGGCCCTGGGGTCGACGCTGGAGCATGATCCAGGTCCCCTGTGGGCCTCAGCGCACCTTGCACTCCAGCAGGTCACTATGCCCTATTCCAGCAGTCTCTGAAGCACCTCTCTGCTTCTAGACCAGACAGGGCCCATGTCTCCTGGCCCCCTGGACACCCTAGTAACTTGTGCTGGGCAATCAGCCAATTTCCACTAAATATATGCTAGTTGGGTGGAATAGGGAGCTGTAGCAGCCTAGTGGTAAGAAGCGGTGCTGTCACATCAAAGGCACGTGGTTCAAATCCACCAGCTGTTCCAGGGGAGAAAGATGGGCAATTTCCTCCCTACTTACTGCAGAGGGTCAAGGACTGCAGCCTTCAGTATGGACTGAGGCTCAATGTCAAGAAGACAAAGATTCTCACCACTGGACCAATTGGTAGCATCAGAATGGATGGCAAAGAGATTGAGATTGTTCACAACTTCAGTTTGCTCGGCTCCGCGGTCAACACTCTCGGCACCAGCAGTCAGGAAATCAAAAAACGTATTGCGATGGGAAAGTCTGCTGTTAGGGACCTCTCTAAAGTATTCAAGAGCAACGGTGTCTCTCTGGAGACTAAGGTCCGCCTGATACTGGCCATGGTCTTTCCAATCACTTGCTATGCATCAGAGTTGGACAATGACTAGGGAGGATAGAAGGAGAATTGATGATGCCTTTGAGCCGTGGTGCTGGAGAAGAGTATTGAATGTACCATGGACTGCCAAGAAAACAAACAGATTCATCCTTGTTGTTGTTGTTGTTATGTGCCGTCGAGTCACTTGCGACTCATAGCGACCCTATGTACAACAGCCCTAAACTCTGCTCTGTCCTGTGCCAATCGCGCTGTCTCTGACACTCCCATCCCGATTATCCCAGTCACTGAATCAATCCACCTCATAGAGGGCCTTCCCCTCCTGCGCTGTCCCTCCACCCTCCCAAGCATGATATCCTTCTCCAAGGACCTGTCTCTCCTCACAACATGTCCAAAGTATGTTAGACGGAGCCTCAGAATCCTTGCCTCCAAGGAGCCACCCGGTTTAACCCTCTCCAGGACAAATCTATTTGTTTTCCTAGCAGTCCATGGTATTCTCAATACTCTTCTCCAGCACAACAGCTCAAAGGTATCAATTCTCCTTCTATCTTCCTTGGTCATTGTCCAACTCTCTGATGCATAACAAGTGATTGCGAAGACCATGGCCTGTATCAGACGCACCTTAGTCTCCAGAGAGACACCACTGCTCTTCAGTACTTTGGAGAGGTCCCTAACAGCAGACTTTCCCATGGCAATGCGCCTAGAGAGGGTTAAACCAGGCTACTCCTTGGAGGCAAGGATTCTGGGGCTTCGTCTGACATACTTTGGACATGTTGTAAGGAGAGACAGGTCTTTAGAGAGGGACATCATGCTGGGTATAGTACAGGGACAGCGCAGGAGGGGAAGACCCTCTATGAGGTGGATTGATTCAGTGACTGGGGTAATCGGGATGGGTGTGTCAGAGACAATGTGATTGGCACAGGATAGAGCAGGGTTTAGGGCTGTTGTACATAGATAGGGTTGCTATGAGTCGCAAACAACTCGACGGCACATAACAATAACAATGATTTACAGCCTCTGAAAACCCACTGAAGGGTCAGCTGTGGGTTTGTTCCAATGCAACAGTACATAACAACTTGGGTGGGTGAAAAGAAAAACTAAATCTATCCATAGTGACATGTTCTCTACGTCAAGCATCAAGTCACATACACCCAGGGGATAGGAAGAGGCTCTTGAATGAGGTGGCCATAAACCTCACTCCGGAGCCTGGGATCCCAGGCTAAGGACTGGGGAAAAGGGTTCCAGAGGTTATGCTGTCCTTCCATGGGAAAAGGAGGCCTGGCTTGACAAGTACATGCACGCACAGGTTTGTACTCCTAGAAGCACCTACATACGTGGCACACACACACACACTCCAAAGAAATTAATCCGCCCAGGTCAGCACTGGACTCAGGTCTAGGTTGAAGGCAAGAGCCTTTACACCACAGAAGCAAAATCCAGCAATAGTAAGATCAGCTTCATAGAAACCCCTTCCTTCAGCTCTGAAGACTGGATCTTTTCTAGGAAAGGCCCTGGTAGGGCCTTGTGGGGTGAGGACTGGACAGAGTCATGAGGGTGAGCTCAGGCTGCCCCTTTCCTCCTTCTGTTCCTCAAGCAACAGAAAGATGAGGATAAGAGAAGACACCGCCACAATATTTTATTGACACATCTTCAATATTCTATATAAATATAAAGTGCTGAATTTTTCCTCTCAGAAGGCTGGGAGGAAGTGGGGGAGGGAGCGTTAAATGTCAGTTGAACACAAATAACTTTCCAGTGCCAATAACGGCACGAAATACAAACACACACGCAAACAAGAGGTTGAAAACAGAACATCCACATCACGTCCCTGAGTCCCCAGATTCCTGGGGAGCCCAAGGCTCGGGGCCAGGCAGACCACTCTCCACAGGGCTCCTGGTGGTCACAGCTTGTTTCTTGGCAGTGCCTGCTCTCAGACTGTTCAGGACTCAACAGAAAGGCAGGTCCATACGTATAGCATTCAGTTCATTTCTGCCAGAGGATGTGGGGACAAGGGAGGAGACACAGCCTCCGTTCTTTTCCCTTGCATGAGGGCCAGCCCTCAAACCCCTCGCAGAAGAGCACCACATGACAAAGTACAGTATCCCTGCACTCTCAGCAGCCCCAACTGGGGGGCTTCAGAGGAATGTGACGGTGGGAGAGGCATGCAGATGCCCACTGTTGGCACCTTTAGTAGAGAGCAGGCCAAGTGGTACCAGCAGCAGAGCCAGCAGGCCGAGGAGACTTCCTCAGTGACACAGAACCTGGGTCTCAAACTGCAGCAGTTGCCCCATGAAACCGAAGTTGGGGGAGATGACTCCTCGGCGTTGTTTAACAAAATCAAAGGCCTCATCCAGGCGCACACGGTGGCTCTGTATCAAGTATGCCAGGCAGATGGTAGCAGAGCGTGAAATGCCCACCTGGCAGTGCACCAGCACCCGGCCTCCACTGTTCTTCACCGAGTCTGTGAGGGAGATGGGAGAAGGGGTTTCAGAGAGAACTATGCACAAGGGCAGAGATGCCCCAGTCTGTTCTCGCCTGCTCCTCCCCATGTCCAGGGGCTGAAGTGGCCCCCCTTTTTAACCAAGAGATTAATTTTTATTCAGCACCTTGTCCTCACTCCCCTGATTCTCTTTGTGATGCCTGTCCTGTTGCAGGCTGTTAAATGTCATGCACTTAGTTTCTAATCCTCACTCCTCTCACTGTCCTCTCCTTCACCCACTACAATGCGGAGTGTCCATAATGGCCTCTCACCGATGAAGCCTATGGCCTCCTGGAACCAGGCACTGATCTCCACCATCTGGCTGTCCTCCACGGGGATGCTCTTGTAGCGGAAGTGGCCCTCGAAGTGGTTGGGGCAGCCAGCAGAGACGTTGAGCAGTGCTGTGATGCCACATGCCTGCAGTCCCTGCAAGTCCGAGGAGTGACTGCAGCTGCCCAAGAAGAGGTAAGGCAGGATCTCCACGGGGCCACCCTGGAAGAGGAGCACCAGAGTGAGCTTTCCTCAGTCCCAGCCGGTTAGGCCAGCACCAACCAGCACAGAGACCTACCCTACTGCCCAGGGAACCGAGCAGGTGCCACACGCAGAAACACGAGGAAAGCACCGAGTACGCTCAGCTCCTACAGTGCACGTGAAGGCAGCAACCAAATCCCCAGCGCAGGAGCAAGCAACCCACAATCACGCGCGCACAGGTGGGCATGTCCACAGGCAGACTCTGCTGAGAGGCATCTCTCTTGCTAGGGGTAGGGCACTTGACTATCTTGCTAGGGGGTAGGGCACTTGACAAGGAGCCCTGGACTTCACTCACCTGGTCATAGAAGGGAGCCCTGGGATCTGAGAGGCTGTTTCCGGTTCCTGTAGGGGGTGATGCCTGGGCAGGGGACTCTGAACACAGACAGATCAGGGCAGCAGGCCTGGAAACTGTCGAAACCTCCTGAGGGGAAAACAAGGGCCCAGTTGAGTGGGAACAGACCACGAGGGGACCAGGATGAAGCGGGGGAGAGGAGTGGGCGACGGGGCAGGGGGTACGGAGCGCAGGGGACTCTCACCGCGCAGGAAGCACACGGCGGTAGGCGCTGCGCGGGTCTCAAGCAGCAGTACCGTGAGCAGCACGCGGGCCGGGCCGTCGGCTGCGAGTTCGGCCACCGACACGCTGTCCTGGTCCAGCACCACGGCGCGCGCCAGCTCCCCGCGAGCCAGGCGCATCCGCAGCACACGGTCGGGCAGCAAGCAGGCGAGAGCGGCGACTGGCGGGCCGCACGCGCGGCGCCGCAGCAGCGCGTTCTAGGGTACTGGGCGCGCAGCTCTCACGTGGCGCCGGCAGAATGCCTGGAAGGGCCGGCAGTCCAGCAGTAGCGTGCGCTCTGCCTACCGCGCGTCCCGCAGCAGCGCGCCCAGCGCGTTGCTCTCCAGCTCACACGCCGCCTCCAACGCCATAGCGCCGGCGTCTGATGGTCCCGGCTCCCCTCTAGCCTTCTTGCTTGTCTCCTCTTGTTCCGCGCCCTCCTGGTCTTGTGTGATCGCGGTGGTGCTGCCAGCACTATCAGCGCCCCAGTTAAGTATTCGTGGGCCGGGCCGGGTCACCATACAAGGACAGAGCAGGAAGGTGCCAGGCGCCCGCCCCCGTAGCCTCACGTGGGGTGCAGGCTGAGAGCAAGCCGCAGCGCTCCGGGGAAGGCTGGGGGTGGGGCGCGGATAGAAAGCCCTGGAGAATGGTTCTCCCGTTGAGAGGGACTATTCTGGGACCTATGGAATACTCTCTCTCAGCCGGTGCTCCCCACCCTTCTCAACCTACCTCAGCGGAAAATTTGGAAGAGTGGAGCCAGGCTGCTCTTTACCCCTGCTCCCTCTCCCCTTTCCCTTCCCGCCCAGAAAACTGTCCTTCCTAGGAATGTGTTAGAATACAAATGAACAAATGGTGCGTCTGACCACGTACACTCTACCCTTTCGGTTAGAGAGTGGTCGTACAGTGGAGCACAAGTTTGGATCTTATATGGGCTCTCTGGGTCTGAATATGTCTACTTGTGTATTTTGAGATATGAAGAGATTATGTATTTGTGAATCTATGTGTCCCCTTTCGCTGAGTGTCAGAGTTAGATCTCTTATCAGGTAGAAGTCAAGGGATCTCCTCTTTTGGTAGGGCCAGCTGGGGAGGGTTTCTACACTGGAGGATGAGGAGAGGGCTGAGATGATGCTTGGAAACAGTGGGCACTGGGACTTTGTCTTCCCTACCTCCCTCCTTTTCTTCCTGCCATCACTATGTGGGTGAAGGAAGCACTTAGGATCCTGCTAAGTGGCCAAGCTGGGCTAGATCTTAGTCCTCTGAGCCCAGACCCTAGGGACACTGAGGTGAGTGAGGAAGGTCCCAGAGCCTCCAGACGGGAGAAGGCAGGAGGCCTGTGATGCATTTCCAGTCATGAGCCGGTCAAGGCTTGGTGCCCTCTTCCCCTAGAGCCAGGGAAAGCCCAGGCCCCAGGGCAATGCACTTCCCCATAGGGAGGCTTGCACCAAGGGGAACTCTGCTGACACAGTGGGCTCCCCTGGGCTTCCTGGAAATTTCAAGAACTTTAAAAAAAATTTTAAATCCAGAAAGCCTCAGAGCTCGCTCATAGCTGATCCTCAATGGGTTTTCTGAGGCTGTAAACCACACACAGGAGATTGTCCATCTTCGTCTTTCGGGAGCTGCTGGTGGATTTGAACTGTCTGAGATGAGCAACCTTTGGATGGCATTGCAGAGCCTGCCCCTTCCACCCCTCACTCCCATCCTGCCTCAGCCAGCCGCAGACAGGACTAACATTTAAACAAGGTGATGAGCATTAAGAACCAGGAGCTGGGTAATCTCGATGCCTTATGCCACCCACAACCCAGCTGCCAGCCCTGGTGCCGGATGTGGTAAGCGCCAGGCATCTGTAGGGTGCCTGGGCCCCTGGGCTGAGATGAGAACAGCCAATTTCTGAAGCAAAAAACCTCAGGAGTGTAGGGGACAGTGCTTTCAGTCCGAGCTGCCCCTCCAACAGCTCACGCCTCTACCCACTCAACCCCCACCCATGAGGAGCGACAGTGTGGGATTTCAGAACTCAATCCCTCCAATCTCAGCCTGCTTCCTGGCCCTGGCCCTGTGGACAGCCATTCCAGCTGCCCTGCAAACACCTGTGTCCACACTGTCTTGGAGTGCTGCAGCCCAGATCCTGTCAACTACCCACCCTCACTCGATCAATCCTGAACTGCTGTTTTGTGTCATCACATGACATGTGTCCAGTCCCTCTGTGTCTGAGATGAAGCTTGACATTTGGACTTGCATGTGTGTGGTGGGGGAACAAGCATGAAGAGACATCTATAGAAGGTGCACGCCTTTCACCAGATGCTCTCCGATGCTGGCTCCAGGGCTCTGAGTCTACGTTTGGCACCTGCATCTAAGGCTCCATCTCTCCTCCCAGGCTGATCTGGAGGCTGTAGCAAAACCCACAGCAGAGCCCAGGAATCTGGCCCACAGATCCCATAGGCTGATAAGGCGTCCTTATCCTTGGCATCTGCTCCCAGCAAATGACTTAATGGCCGATTCCAGGGCAAATTACAGAGTGTGTAGAGGACAGTCGGTCCTGTTTTGCTGACCAGGGACTGGTGTCACCTGCCGCAGTGCAGCCACAGCTACAGGAAAGAGGTGGGTGGAAACAGGAGCAGCTAGGAGCCCTGACTCAGGAGTTAAACTCCATTCTGCATGGTCTCCAGATGCCAGCCCGCCCACACTGGACTGCGCCTCTCCCCATCCTAAAGAGCAGTGTGAACCTCGCTGGAAAGTTATGCGTTACAGGGTGAAGGCGGTCTAGAAGGGCCACAGTTAAACACATTTGTTGAGTTCTCTGCCCTAGTCATGATATGCGTGGCACCTCCACAATGCTAATCATTTGGGGACTGTCCCCTTTGAGGCCCACGGAGACTTAGTCACAAAGAAGGGCTTCCCTTCTCTTTCTTACTCTTGTCCCAGACTTGAGAAACCCCCACCCCTAGTTAACCAAATGAGAACTCAGACAGGGAAAGAGACGCAAACCCTACTGCGACCCCCACTTCTGCTTCCGGGTCCCGGTGTCAATGCATGCCTGCTCTTCCTTCCAACTCCTGGGTGCTAGCCTCAGAGACCCGGTCCTACTGCCAGTGCCTATTCTTCCTTCCAACCCCTGGGTGCTAGCTTCAGGGACCCGGTCCTGGTGCCCTGCCTGTTCTTCCTTTGCCACTTCCTTGAGGACCACCATTGCTTCCCTTGCCCGTGATGGGTTGGAACTGAGTCTCAGAGGACATGGCAGAAGCATGGGGGTGGATAGTGTGGGAGGGGACTTGATCAGGCTGATGCCCCAGTGCACACTCATGAGGGAGAATCCCACCTCTTACAACTACATGCTCAGGGTATTGGGGCATGTGTGTGGCACACTTAGAGCTTTTGAGAGGGACTTTTATTTCTCCTGGTCTGATTGTTACAAGGCAGATATGGTTAAATTATTGTTATGTCAAGTAATCTGCAACTCATAGTGACCCTATGTATAACAGCTCTGAAGCCTGCCCTATCCTGAGCCAGTCTCTCTGACTCCAACACATCTACCCTCATTGCCCTAGTTACTGTATCAATCATTCTCATTAGGAGTCTTCCTCTCCTGTGCTGTCCCTCCACCCTTCCAAGCATGATATCCTTCTCCAAGGACCGGTCGGTCTCTCCTGGCCACATGCACAAAGTATGTGAGACAGAGCATCAAAATCCTAGCCTCTAAGGAGAGACTTGATTTCTTCCTCTCCAAGAAAAACCTATTTGTTTTCTTGGCAGTCCATGGTATGTATGTTCAAGACTCTTGTCCAACCCAACTCAAAGGCATTTATTATTCCTCTATCCTCCTTAGTCATTGTCCAGTTCTCTGATTTTTTTTTAAATTAAAAACTTGTGATCTGTCAAGTGGAATGAATACTTCGGTGTTACTCTTATGTAACTGTGTGTTCTGATGGCTTTTTTACTGTCACTCACCTCCAGCCCCATCAAGTGGTTTCTCTTCCGCAGAGACACGAGCTGAGCCCAACATTGATGTCTGATGTTGCGTCACATTTTCCTTCCTGGGCTTCCTACTCCCGCCAAGATCTGCCCCTGCAGAGAGGGAAACGTGGCCTGACCTAGCTATAATCCTTGGACCATATGGGCACCAAGGTGAAAGTGACTATTCTACCCCCACCCAGGCCTGCTGTCCTGGCAGAGGGATGAGTCACAGGTGGCATCAGCCTTCCTGTGCCAGGCCTCTGAGGATGGAGGAGTGGACCGTGACCACTCCCTCAGGTTCTTGCCAGGCAACAGCCTCAACTTCAAGGGCCTGCCCACCGAAACAGCTCTGTTCAGCACAGTGGAGTGGCCCAGGGGACTGCTTGCTGCTTTTCTCCAAGGACATTCCCAGCAGTTTCCCAGCCTGAGGTGGAGCCTGCTCCATGTGCTCTTCCAGAATCCTCAGCGGCAGAGGGGGCATCCAGCCCCCCGCCATGTTGGGTACAGGAGACCTGTCCTGCTCCTGGAGAAGGTGAAGCTTAAAAGTAGGTTTGAGGGCTCCAGCGCGAGGAGACTGCAGGTGGTTTGAACAATTTAACTGAAAACGTGGATATCAGACCAAATCATACAAATTATATCAACAATATGAATGACAAAATTAAAAAAGAAGAAATGAAGAGGTCTTTATATGCCCTGTTTTCTCAGTTTGGCCATGTGGTAGATATTGTGGCTTTAAAGACCATGAAGATGAGGGGACAGGCTTTTGTTATATTCAAAGAACTTGGCTCATCCACAAACGCTTTGAGACAGTTACAAGGATTTCCATTTTATGACAAACTAATGCGAATCCAGTACGCAAAAACAGATTCCGATATAATTTCTAAAATGTGTGAAACTTGTGCTGACAGAAAAAGAAAGAGAAAAAAGCAAAAACTGTGGAACAGGCTGCAGCAGCCACAAAAAACCTGGTCAGGGAACACTAAATTCAGCTACTACTCAAGGAAATTCAACACCAACTCCGCAGGTCTCTGATTACCCTCTAGATTACCCTCCAGACTATATTTTATTCCTTAATAATTTACCAGAAGAAACTAATGAGATGATGTTATCCATGCTGTTTAATCAGTTCCCTGGATTTAAGGAAGTGCACTTGGTACCTGGCAGGCATGACATTGCATTTGTTGAGTTTGAAAACGATGGGCAAGCTGGTGCCGCTCGGGATGATTTGCAGGGATTTAAGATCACACCATCCCACGCCATGAAGATCACTTATGCCAAGAAATAACACTTGCGGGAGTCTTCCTTAAAGGACTTGGACTTATTTATCTTTGTTCTGATAACTCTGGACAGGCCATTTTATAGTTGAGAGCAAGGGACATATTGAAAGTAAACTTTGTGGAAATACTTAGATAATTACCT